TGATCTCTCATCTCATACTGACGAAGGACCGTTGTATGTAATTCCTGAAATCGCAAGTTACAAATAATAAACATGAATTAGTTAAAACGATTATATATGGGCACCTGAATCATAATTATAATTAGTCTGCAAGCTAACTATCTCCACAAATACACAAAGGCCATTTAATATAGTGTGTGCATCATTCCTAAGAGTTAATGCAATCGAAATCCAGCGCTTTCGGTTTTAGTTCTAAATGAATAAGAAGTGTTTATGCATATTTAAATTCTGGGGAAACTAACACCATGGGCAGGAGATCTTGTTGTCAAACCAACAATCGACCATTCACTCAAGAAATTCCCAACATTCTGTGACCCGAGGGTTCATTACCGTGTTTACAAGAGCCTGCCACTGGTCTCTGTCCTGAGACAGATGAGACACGATATCTAATTCTATTCATCTGAGATCCAGTATAATAGTATCCTCTCAAATTTTAGGGCAAGAATCGAGGTAAAAGAAAAAGCTGTTCCTGTAACAGACCGTGAAGACCCATAGGGCTCTGAGACGTCAAGGCTCCCACATTCTCAAGACAATCGGCTCACAGATGGCGGTAAGGTTGTCAACATCTCACAACCCTATGGGCCTCCACGGACTGTTTCAGGGATACCTTTATTTTTTTTTACTAATGGACCTAATAAGGTATTATTTTAAGAAAATGTCAATACTAAAGCCCCGGAATCGACGGACGAGTAATGAAGGTCACGCAAATGGACACCTCTCTGCCTGTGGACTATGTGAGGTGAAAGCAGAATTTCTGATTAGGAACAGTATAGAGGCTAAATAATTTTAAAACAAAGGCGCAGTGCCGACCTGTTTATTTCCGATTTAAGGGACAATGGTATACAACAAATTAGAAAGAAAAATACAAGTCTATGCCTTCAAGAACAGCTCTGCTTAAAAGAATGAATCGAAAATGTAAAGGAAATTACTACAGAGAAATGAAAGCGAAACAGAAACAAACATGCAGCCATTAAGTCACTTCACCCTCTCATCATCAATGTAGAAGCGTCAAGTAATTACAAGCATGTTTACATTTCCTGCTTGACTCTTAACGCAAGCGCAGTGGTGCGGAGTTACAGAAGAGCGCCAAATATGTACGGTACTCGAGGTCCGGACAGCTGTGGTTATGGACGGTTCTGTCTTCTGGGATATAGCGGAGCGTAGTCCGGTGAAAGTCAACTGGGGTGTCGGAGAAAATTATCACTTCCATTTTAATACTGAAGGACACGTCAAGCAAGAAACGAGCATGAAGCAGGCAGCAAGCAGCGCTCTACTTCATGCCACTTTCTTGATTTGATCCTAAGTCACATTCTTACCCTACTCTTTTACTATCCGTCCGTCCATCCAGTCTACAGAACTTTTGTTGGACCTTGGCCGACTTTTCAGTTTCTTAATCCTATACGCACATACGCACGCGGTAGCGTAGTTGGTTGAGGCACTATACTACAAGCCGGAAGGTCGCGGGTTCAAGCCCCGATGAGGTCATTGAATTTTTTCAACTGACCTAATCCTTCCAGCCGCACTATGGCCCCGGGGTCGACTCAGCCTCTAACAGAAATGAGTCCCCAGGAATATTCTTGGGGGTAAAGGGCGGCCGGCGCGTAGGGCTGATAACCTTGCCGCCATCTGCGAGCCGATTGTCTAGAAAATGTGGGAGCCTCAACATCTCACAACCTTATTGTCCTCCACGGCCTGTTACAGAGATACCTTTACTTTTTTTATACATAGTCGGTAGGACTCCTTAGACGGAGGATCAGCCTGCCGCTAGGCCGCTACCTATGCACAGAACACAAAAAGAGATTAAACGCATACAGACATCTATACCTGGAGTGGAATTCGAACCAACGATCGCAGCATTCGGATGAGCGAAGACAATTCATGCCTTAGACCTCGCGGCCACTGTGACCGGCCAATAATGAGGTTGTCAGCCTTAGCCGCCGGCCGCACCTTTACCCCCAGGAAGTTTCCTGGTACTCATTTCTGTCAGAGGCTTGGTCGACCCCAGGACCGTAGTGCGGCTGGAAAGGTTAGGTGATCTGAAAAATTCAATGACCTCATCGGGAATCGAACCCGCGATCTTCCGGCTTGTAGCATAGTGCCTCAACCAACTACGCTACCGCGTGCCCCTTTCCTCACTCATTTCTCCATACGAAAAGCATTGGGATCAGGACGACAATGTGTAACTTTGCAACTAAATTTGTTTAGAATGTAAAAAGAGACAAGTGTGTGAATCCGGGAAAACTCAGAATCAGTGGGTTTTGGACTTTTTCCAACGTCCGGTACTCTAGAAACTAGAAAACACAACGTTTCGGAAGCTGGATCTGTTTGCGTCCTCAGATCAGAAGGTGGCTCCCTTAGAGAGAGCTAATCTCAATCATTGGACAACCCTTGTCACATTCATTATAGTTTCCGAAACGTATTTCCTATTTTCTGGAATAATGGACGATGGACAGAGTCCAAAAACCCAGTAATTCGGAGTATTATACACCATCGTCAGAACCCTATAGAATTACACGAACACTGGTGATATCAGTACCCGCTGTGTAAAACAGAAATTTATCCTCAAATTTTAGTGCAGACTTTTCTGCACGGGCACCTTATAGGCCTAATGACCAAATGAACGTCCACCAACCCTTGTTTCTCCCAAACGCCGCCAGACAGGGAAAAAATTGGGGGGAAGGAGGGACACAGCTGTCGTCTTGGTGGGACAGCTATAAGTAGATTATCAAATATTCTGTTAAATTCGTGGGTTCGAGTCCAATTACTTTTTTATTTTCCTACATAAAATAGGGCTGGAACCGTAAACATGGATAAAAAAGGTAAAGTTGTCCCTGTGCTTAATTAATTAAACACTGTACCATGAAGACATGAGGGAAAGGAGGTACAGATCCACCATTCTTGATCTCGGCACTAGATGAAGGTACGTGGTCAGCTTCATGCCCCGGCCGCTTTAACCGAGGGGAGAGAGCTCCTGGTATCAATTGGATGGTTGGGTCCCAGAGCAGGTCTGGACGCTGTGAGGATAACAATATTTTTTTCATGCCGGGAATCGAACCCAAGCCGTCCAGTCCGTAGCCCTTCGCTAGAACACGAGTATGCAGCTTTAATATATTTTATAGTGACCACACCCAGAGGCACTGAATGTAAGTAAACACCATAAAGGACAAAAACTGTTATTCTAATTGCAGAGTAGACTGTTCCACACGGGCACGCTAGTGCTTTAATAATAATGATGATGACAAGAATAAGAATAATAATAATAATAACAAATTGAGAGGTCAAATTCAGTATATGTTCCCTGGCATACTAAATATTTACCATTGTCCTTACATTACGGCCTTCAGTGGAGAGAAATAGGAAATGTGAATATGAATCTTTTATTGACCCTTCAAAGCCCAGTGGTTGCTGTATGTTCCACTCGCTTTAACACACTAAAACTCTGCATTCTGCCCAGAGAGCATATTTGGGTTTCGTAAGGCTCGCACGGTAAATAAAGACTGTTCCCCTTAACAGCATTAACCGGGTCGTCTTTGTAGCGGAGACGTAATATGTTTCCTGTGAGGTAAGAACTGAATTTTTAAGTATTATTTAGAATACAGTAATTCTTTCAAGGGTTAAGCAGTCAGATATCATAAAATGAACACAAATGATATTTTGTGAAGCATTTCATAGAACATTTCTGCGGAAAAATAATATGTAATCGCTTCTGCATTGATGAATGGGGTACATGTGAGCTTGTAGAATCATGGATAGTTCAATAAGGTCAAATCCATACCACATTTTGTATCATCACTCAGGCAATTGGAGGCAGGCGATCCCTCGCACTCCTGCGTGGTAAATAGCCCGGCTGGAGGTAAGTCAGGGAACCTTCAGAGTTCACACTGACTCCAGTACTAAAGACAGACAACAAACATGCCCACAACACAGACACATTGACGTCAGCCGTGCACCAGGGCGGATCATTCCAATACTTATCGTCCACATGTAAATAAGACAAAAAAAATACACAATTCGCAGACTCTGAGGTTAAATAATGTCTGTCACATTTACATAGAAGCAACGCCCTTAAATGAACATCTAACACTTTCTGGATGCACAGTTCACTCATTCACTCTCATGGAACTGAGCCCTTCTTGAGAAGCTGCCAACTGTGCAGCTACTGCTGGTTCGATGCCACCTCCGTCCCATCTGACCTCCTGTACTCCCACTAAATCTACCTTATATTTTGAAATTTCTTCCGCCACTGCCCTGAGCGAACCTGCCATATACATACTTCTAACATTACAAGTACCGAATCTCATATCAATTTTTTTTAGCTAGGTCGTCTATCCAGAGGATCCGTCCAGGTCCGAGACTTTTTGAACATTTTCGTAACAAGCTTATTTTTTTACAGCGAGGAGTTGTTAGCCCCACGCCCAACACCAAAGCTGGAGGACCACCCTTGTTGGCTGTCCGCGACTGCTTATTCAATATATTCGCAGCTTCCTTCCACGCGCAACCTGAGAACGCGCCATGCTGATGTGACAAGGGACCCACCTAACCTGGGGATGCATAGCTATCCTCAAAGATGTAAGAATACGTTTTTTTTTCGTTTGTTTAATAACGCTGTTTAAAACACAAGCGTGTCTAACTTCATGGAGCAAGGTCCTTCTTGCAAAGCTCACAGTCATTCAGAAGGTCAAGAAATTTCCAGCGTCTTATGGAACCAGAAAGTTCATCATCATGTCGGCAGAGGTGTCCTTAATTGTACTGTAAAGATTGAAGGACAATGGACGTGCATATTGGAACTCCCCGTACTGGGGTTAAGAAAGCACCCCTCGCTGTATTTCCCAACATATAACCACAGTATCTAAAACTACTGCATAAGTACTCTGACTGAAACACTGTCAACATACTCCATTACACGGGAACAGTTGGATACACATAAAGCGTGCTGCCAGTGAACACGTCTACCAACTCACCCAGGTATGGAGTTAGAATTGGAGATAACAGGGACGGCATCCGCTACGCTTTCTCTGCTCATCTCGTCGGCCATTGCCACCTTGAGCTGATGTCCGAAGCTCGCAAGGTCCTCTCTGAAGATCTCGCTGCCCGGCGTGATGGCGCCACTAGTAAGCGGAGGCAAGGGCGTCATTCCATCCCCTCCAGTTTCCCCTTCCACGACTTCGCCTGCAGCGTTTACCAGAGCTTCTTGTTCATCGTCGTTGTAGATCTTGAAGTAGGCGAATGCAAGGTAGATGACGGAAATGATAAAGGACGGGATGGGAATAGCCATGGCGTACACGAGATTCATGTACACCTGCCACATATCCAGCTCGCTCATCACTAGTCCCGGATCTATCTTGCTGTAATAACACGAGAAGTTGGTCCCCGGTTCACTGTACTTCTTCACAAAAATGCTGCAATTGAGCATAGGCGGGTATCCACACCCTTTCACATTCGGGAATAACCTTGCTTTAGCATAATACCATTCTGAGTCGTTCCCTAAAAGTCCGGTTTGCTCTGATGATTCCAATCCATTATGAACTGTCTCCTCTTCGTCTTCGTCCATTTCATTAGAATAGTCATACTGCCGAATGGCTCTGCCGGATCTCGAACTGGTGTGCTCTACTTCGCGCCTCTTGACAATGTTACTAACATCTCTTTGTGACCTCAGATACTCATGAAGTTTAGCAACAATATCGTCATCTGCTGACCCCTCAGCTACTTCGTCCTCCTCAGTATTCCCTTCCTCGCCTTCCTCCGTCTTAACTACTGGTAGAATTTTGTAGTTGACGCGGATCTGGGTGCATTCGAATACATCCTTGGTGCAGCCTTCTCGACACGAGCTCCACGTGCAATTGGACGCGCCCTGCCTGGTTTCGGTATCAACCGTCTGACAGAGGGCGGCCACCGGGTCGAACTGCATGAAGATGGTAGTGAAGGCCGGCTCAATGACGAAAGGCACCAGGAAGAGGAAGGCGAAGAGGCTGAAAGTGCCAAGGAGGATGAAGAAAGCAGTGGTGTAGAACAATAGTTTCTGTGCGATTGTCTGCTCGACTTCTGCGTCATCCATGACGGAAGCGCGTTAACAGCTGAGCACTGTGATCTATACAATTCGTCACCACGTCAGCCTCATCCAAGTGAACTTCGTCGTGAGCTCGTGGAACTCGACGGTCGGCAAACCGGGTGTTTGTCTTCTGAAGGCCCCGCGCTCCACATGATATCGCGTAGGCGTTATGAATGCTACAGTTCTACCGCCAACGACTAGCCATTCTAATATGTGTCAGCGTTCCTCCATGTATGTACTAAGGTGTCCTGAAATATACAATGATCCTACGTGTTACATTTTAACCCTAACGAGGGGCATTCCCCATCAGGAATATTCAACACCAAGACAAATATTCTGCTAACAAGAGTAACTTTTCATACACAACATACCAACCCCCTATGATCTCATCCTCTGTCACCCCCAGCCCCCCAATCTTCCACCGTCACATCGCATCGCTCCGTAGCCATGGGAACCGGACCTAATCCGTGCTGGAGAACCTCTTCCGAACCTCTGGTAACACTTCTTATTGTAGTAACGGAACTATGACACAGCAGACAACAGTGCTACTCTACAGATATCGAATCTGCATCTTGCAACCACAGAAAGCCTGTACGCACCTATGTAAATTCCTTCTCCGACACATTCCAAGATACATAAAATCCCATTCACTTTAATTAATGTGGCAATTAAACTTTTTTTTCGCATGGGCATATAGGATCTGGGGCTTTCACGGTGATAACATTCACATGACGGTCTTCAGGTTGTCTGGTACAAACGTTTTAGAATAACATACTGTCTCAATCTCTATCCCGAAGATCGATGCATTATTTTCTTTCGAAAAATGTGTGCCCACTTATCAGACTACATGGTGCCATAAGCCAGAATATCACATCATTTCTTCAAGATATCCCGAAATTTAAGTGTTTCAAATTAAGTCTGATTAATATTCCTTGCATTCGATAATACGAAGGGGACAATACCAGAAGACACAGTCATGGGTCAGTTGACGTTTCAATTACTTCTCTGCTGCCTCTTTTAATATAATCTTCGTCTCGAATTGTGTATTCCCAGCAGCAGAGTTTCAAGAGGTTTCATTACCAAAATTCCATACGCAGTTATGTTTCCTCTGTACGAGCTGAAAGTCCAACACATTAGACCAGTGTTTCTCAGCTGCCGGGCAGCGGCCCGGTACCGGGCACTCGTCTTATAGAAAAAAAGAATTTACCATGCTGCAATCTCACAAAGGTTGACAACCAATGCATTAGAACTTTCTGATTTCGTTATCAGAATAACAGAGGCAACCTGTAAATATCACTAAGTTTCCCGTTATGCGGTTATTCTCCCGTTCCCACTAACTTCACACCTGCCAGGTTCAAACATTCTTCACAGTTCACCACTTTACGATGCAGTGCTTATAAATTTTCATTCAACGAGGCTTATACCTTGATAAATAATACACACGTGGAACACATAATATTCTTTAGTGTAAGTAATCTGACAGTGCTGACGCCTTCACACTTAAAAAGAGGAACATTCCTCGACCTGCAATCTGTCGTTTGGGGAGAATTTAGTAGTTTTCTTTTTAATTTCGTAGGGTGGGGTGAAACTGAGTTCACCTGGTACGTCAGCCACTAATTGGCCTATTTTACCAGCCGCAGATGATGGATGTGTATGCAGAATTGGGAGTGAGAATTGTTAGGAGAAACAGGTATATTCGGAGAAAACCCGCCCCAGTGCCATTCTGTCCACCACAAGTCCCACATAACGTGACCTGAGATCGAACCCGGGCTGCCGCGGTGGGAAGCCGGCGAATAACCGCCTGAGCTATGGCACAGCCTAAGTTTGTAGTTAATTGTTATGGAAGTGAGTAGTACGGTGGCTAATCAATATGTAAGCGACAGAGAAATTCAGGGGGGAAAAAACAAAACACGAATCCTTCGTTACTACACACAGCAATAACAATTTCATTACTCCGGGTTCGCCTGTTCTGGTTCGGAGACAAAATAAAGTGCGACATTACACACAGGGACAGAGGTGAATTATGTTAAGACATTTACCGTCACGTGCATGGTTATAAATTTACAATAAATAACAAATTTGGACGGAGTAAAATTTGTAAAGATACAATAAAATGATTACATTGTGCAATGATGGAACTAACATACACGTATTTAAAAAAAACAGAATATGAAAAGTAAATAAAAATGAAGTTAAACTGCAGTGTAAGATTAAGAAATATGCAAGCTGATTATATTTTACATGGAAATTGAAATAAAAAACAGAAAGGGGCCTGAAAACGTATTATTATTATTATTATTATTATTATTATTATACTAACTGCTTTGTTTTTGTATTCTGTTTGTGTTTTGTTTCTTTTTCTGAATTTGTTGCCACTTTGTAACTTCGTAATTGGAGTTTAGGTTGTAACGTTTGCATGCAAATAAACAAGAATGGAATTATTATTATTATTATCATACCCGCAAAACTGTCATTATTACTCGAAACTTAAGGACATGCGTTCTACATCTCCATGTGTCTTCATAACCTTAGCCAGTGCACTAAATCTGTCGGTAGCAGTGATTTACTTGATTTGATTTTTTCTTACTTTATACTCTTACGTACTATTTTTGTCCACTGTGGAACTCGATAATTATCATTCTCCTTTGGTTAGTGATATTCACTTGCCATTTTTTAGTTGCATTAAAAATTACGAGTGTCCCTACCTTAGATTTGCATCAGGGGATTATATCAAACTTTATAACATTCTCTCAGTTGAAGAAAGCAGTCTTCTGGGATTTGGCACCGTGTATATGTGGTGTTAACCGACGTTTCGGAGGAACGTATCGCCTTCATCTTCAGGGTAGAAGGAAAAATATAAGAATCCGCAGGCGAAGAGGCAGTGAGAACCGCCTGCGGATTCTTATATTTTTCCTTCTACCCTGAAGATGAAGGCGATACGTTCCTCCGAAACGTCGGTTAACACCACATATACACGGTGCCAAATCCCAGAAGACTGCTTTCTTCATCGTCACCGCCGTGAAAACCTCAAATCTTACATTCTCTCAGTTTACCATTGATCTTGTGTGCATGATACCAACTCTGTGGATGCTGCTGTCGCCAGCCTCAATGCTACTGTTCTAGATGCCATGAAACAGGGAATTTCCCCATGCGTCATCGGAAAATCAAAATCCCCACGTTAGTTTCCTAGTTCTCTAGGGTATTAAATTAGGAAAAAGAATAATTTTTACAAACTTTTAAAAAGAGGAAATCGAACTGCACTCACAATAACTTTTCCTTTTTCGGTAAGCGGGTCGGGATAGTTAACTTGGTATAGCGATGGGCTACAGGCTGGATGACCGGGGTTCGATTCCGGCAAGGTCAAGATTTTTCTCTTCTTCACATACGAGCTCTGGGGCCCAGTTTCCTATCCAATGGGTACTGGGGGCTCTTTCAGAGGCAGTAAAGCGGCCGGAGCGTGAAGATGACCATTTACCTCCATCTAGTGGAAAAGTCAAGAATGGTGAATCTATACATCCACTCCCCATGTGTCTTCAGAGCACAGTGTTTGATTAAGTAAGTAAAAGGCACCTTCTTTCCACTGGCTCTACAGCCCCCTTGGGTCCTGGCCTCTGATTTTCAGTTTCATGATAATTTTACAGACGGTAGGACTCCTTGGACGAGTGATCAGCTCATGGCAAGGCCTCTACCTAAACACAGGACAACACAAACACAGAATAAACACACACACACAGACACTAAGAATCCATGCCCTGAGTGGAATTCGAACCCACGATCCAGGCTTCCGAGCGAGCGAAGACAGTTCATGCCTTAGACCGCTCGGCTACCGTGACAGGCTAAAGGCAACTTTACCTTAGTTAAAGCTACTATTAAGGCAGACTCAAATAGCTGAAGTCCATTGATGACAATTTAAAGTCGCAAGGAAAGAAATCTTTGAAATACGTTTCTTCTTTCAGAGAAAATTCCAGTGTCTGTTCAGCTTGAGGCTGGCAGTAAGAATTTGGTCGAACCTTGGGACGCTGCTGCTCAACTTTCTAAACATTTTCAGTCAGCAATCCAGCTCCAAATGTCATCTTCACCCTTTAGCCATCTTCCAAATTTTTATCTATTTCTGATTCCGGTGTTTTCAAATCTCTCAAGCGCTTGAGACCAACTCAATAACTGGAATTGTTATTAGGGGTTGTTCTCATATTTTTGTTCCTATTTTTGAATATATTTTAATCTATAAGCTTAAGTCAGCAGTTATTTTCCTACCTTAAAGAATAAAGTGGGAATTGTCCCTGTTTCAAATTAAAAAATCAACAGTGCCTCTGTTAACTGTTACAAACCCAAAGCTCTCTTAATAATTTTTCCAAATAATTTGATCTTCTATTATTCATAGCCATGTTTTCATCTAGCCAAAGTTTAAATTAAACCACTGCCATCATAACAGAAAATCTAAATATACCACCACCTATTTTGTACCTTATCTCGATTTTAGTCGGCCCTCAGCAATAAGATGACGTCATTTATTTCGATCTCAGCAAAGCATTCGACCTTATCTTTCATACCCTGTTTCTTCATAAGTGTAGTGCTTCTGATGGTTACATATACATTCATTCATTCATTCATTCATCAGTGGCTATTGTCTAAATTATACTTGTATAAGTTGCTTCGTTTGTCGTTTGTTTGAGTGTATATGTTTATTTCTTTTTGTACGTGGTCCCCTTTACATTTGACCTCCGGCCTACTGAATAAACATGTAAATAATTAAAGAGCTGAACTCAATTAACTAGTGGTATCTACTACCGTAGATAGTAACTACCACTACCGCTTCGTATTCTGGAGGTTCCAGTTCGAAATTACGGTCCACAGACCTCCTATCTTCACTGACGTTGCCTTCCTCCCTGATATCAGGCAATGATGTGACAGTGCCTCCAATTAAGCATTCTTCCGAATCATTTCCAAATCAATGTTCAATACCTGCCGTATAATTCCACGCTATATAAACTGAGCCACTGAAAGTATTATTAAATAAGCAATGTAAATAAGACCAAATCGCTAAAATTCCAAATGAGCGTCCCACATTTTCTCTAGACAATCAGCTCATAGATGGCGGTAAGGGTGTCAGCCTTACGCGCCGGCCGCCCTTTACCTCCCCAGGAAGATTTCTGGTACTCATTTCTGTTAGAGGCTGAGTTGACCCAAGGACCATAGCGAGGCTGGAAGGATTATTAAGTCAATTGAAAAAATCGACCTCATCGGGACTCGAACCCGCGACCTTCAGGTTTGTAGCATAGTGTCTCAACGAAGCACGCCACTGCGTGCCCCCACATATTAATGATATTAATGCCAAAATACTGTGAAATAATGAACAGGTTCAGAACTGTTTACAAAATATATATAAATTATTTCATAAAATTCAGAAATACAACCTAATCGATTGCTCTTTACCTATGCTTTATAAAACATTGCTTTCTTGTAATTGATAACCTTCTGTTGCAAGACTAGCAACCGTCTCAGAAAGTTATCTGCAACATATCCTATACACGCCCAGCATAAAACGATTTATTTAATAGGTTTACGCCCAGCTAATCATTTTAACACAGTATAACCATTCACAACAGACCAAACCCAGCTCACCAATTAAGCCCTTCAAAAATTACTGCTGGAAACGACTACCTCATAATACGCTGGATTTGAGGTTCTATCAGCAGTGGCTATGACGAGTACTATCTTCTTGGATGTGACGTCATATAGACCTATAGAAGTTCACCGATGTTTCAGTGAAATATCCTGCCTCCGTCTTCAGGGTCAAACAGTACATGAAGCAACCAGTAAGATTCAAGTAGAAATCATAACGTCGGTAAATTTCTACCAGATTACATGGCATCATATACTAGAATACAGTCGTCTTCATCTGCTTAGTTCGTGGTTCATTCCAACAATCTCACTCATTTTTATAGCCACTCCGTTTTTTTTTCATATTGTTCACATTCAACACTTGACGTTTGTCATAAAATTACTGTGGCCGTTACATTCGGGCTCATTTTGAGTTATACTGCAAGCATATTCACATCTCAGTACACGTCATTTGTCAAATTAATGGGAAAACTTGCAGCTTGCTTCTTGCCGGTTGCTTCTTGGCTTACTATTTTACCTTGAAGATGGAGATCCTATTTTCCTCCGAAAAGTCGGTAATCTTATATTGGACTACATTGTGTCAAAATACACTCACATATTCATAGTAAAAACAAAAAGAAACACTATCACCATTGGAAAGTTCGTCATTTTTTACACTACCGTATGAGAATTCGAACAACTACTATGCACCTACAACAAAATTTCCAGCGGAAATCTTGAAAGCACAATATGACTATCCTACAGAATTTATGATGTAAAAGTCCACATGTTGATGAAGTAACGTCCTTTTCTGCGACAAGCGAACACCTTTCTGCACACGAAAACGAACATTTTTATATAGCAAACAAACATGAATATAAAGTCTGTCACTCAAGTAAATATATATACCCGCAAATAATCGATGATAATTCTGCTGTAGATGAAGTTGTGCTTTGAGATGGACGGGTTCGGTTTCGAAAGTCTTGCCGCTGATTTCAACAGCTACTTTGGCTGAGCGCTACGTTACTAGCATCTCCATGACGACTGCTCGTACAGGGACGAACTCTGCCCGGACTCAACGCCTACATAAAGCAGCGTCGAGATAGCGCCAGGCGTCGCGCTGCCCGACGGTACAGCAGCTCCCCGATTCTACCGCGGAAAGTTCTGTAAACTCAACTTACTGTCTGTTCTGTGGACAGTTTCAAAGAATAAAACGATTCAAGCTGGGATATACTGCGATATGACACCGCATAGTATCATACGTAGTGACCTAGGTTTCGGAGATACCTGCTGCCTCCATCTTCATGCGTGAATACAGCAGGATCTTCTATAACGTTGGTATCAATTCAGGAGACCACACGGTGTCACAAACCAAAAATACACGATCAAAATTTTCACAGCCGTAATAAGCACAGAGCAAATGATGCTCGAGATGGTTCAAGTTCGTATAGCAACAGGCGTGACCAGAGTGGTTTGAACGGCTGTTGTATTGCGATGTGGAAAGCAAATGGAAAAACTACCACATTATCACTTTTCCTGGATAGTCTCTTTCCAAAAACAGAGATACCATCTATGCGACCAGAAGACGAGGAAGAAGACGTAAGAAGATGCTGGATGACCTTGGGGACAGAAGATGGTATTCTCATTTGAAGGAGAAAGCTTGAGATCGAATTAAGTGGAGGAACTGTTTTGGAAGAGACTGTGGACCTGTCGTATGACAGATTACTGATGAATGAATGAATAACCTCAAGACTGAAATCATTATTCAACAACACATACAGACAATTCTTAACGATGAACAGGTACTTATTCATTCCAGAAATGGATCTATCAAAAAATTTACCATCTGACAGACTACAATCACGTACAGCAGAAGTCACACAATACTTGCTGTCATACAAAACTAACTTCATTAGCCCTCATTTCATATGTAGTTCACGTAAAAGTTGAGACATATAGGACCTCATAAAGCTTATGAAGCCATTAGCTTTGATTGAATTGCTTTCCTGTAGCAGGCCCTTACACATTTTCGCGGGAAACCATACAAAAAGTTAATTATCAACATTGCATATTCTTAAAATACAAACTATAACACACTAAATCCATGGGGTAGTGTCATTCTTCAGAAGCTACTAGTCGCTCAGATAATCACGAAATACAGACGGCCATTTATGGAACTTGAAGGTTCATTACCTCATTTACAAGAGCCTGCCCAGCAAGAGGTCCTGGGTAACATTTGTAATACGCTGCTACTTACTGGTGGCGGCAGTCCCCTGTTCAACCCCACAGCTGGAATACTATCCGTTGTCGGCTTGTTCAGTTTATCCGGAAACCATTTCTATCCGCATTATGAGAAAGCGGCAATTGGTGGTGACAAGGGACTCACCTACCATGGACCAATTAACATTCGTCTATATTATCGTCTTGTGTCAGAATGGTAGTAGCCAGCCCATAATAGGTATAACAGTATTAATGTTTGCTCGTATTGCTTCATTTAGCCTATAGTCTCATAAATTCGAATGGTAATCTTGAAATGTTGTTTCGCTTAGGTCGTTTATCCAAGGAATCCATCCAGGTCAGAGGCTTCTTGTGATCTTTCATAACAAGCTTATTTTTTTTTACGGTGAGGAGTTGTTAGCCCCACTCCCAACCCCCAAGCTGGAGAACCACCCGTTGTCGGCTGTCCGCTAGTGCTAATTCAGATACTCTCCATACCTGGAGGGCGTCTCCTCCATCCGCAACTTCATGACGCGCCATGCCGTGGTGATAAGGAACCCACATAAAAATTGGAATAAACAAAGCTTTAATTTTGCCTGTGGTTCTATATGGGTATTAAACTTGGTCTCTGATATTAAGGGAGGAACGCAAACTGAGGGTGTTTGAGAACAGGGTGTTGAGGAGAATATTTGGGCCGAAGAGAGATGAAGTGAGAGGAGGTTGGAGAAAACTGCATAATGAGGAGCTTCATAACTTGTACTCTTCTCCAAGTATAATTAGAACGATCAAGTCAAGGAGGATGAGATAGGCAGGGCATGTAGCACGAATGGGGAAGAGGAGGAATACATATAGCATATTGGTGGGAAAGCCAGAAGAAGGAGACCACTCGGAAGACCAAGACGTAGGTGGGTGGACAATATTAAAATGGATCTTAGAGAGATCAGATGTGATGGCATGCATTGAATTGGTCTGGCTCTGGATTGGGACAAGTGGAGGGCTCTTGTGAACACAGTAATGAACCTTCGGGTTCCATAAAATGCTGGGAAGATCCTGAGTAGCTGCACAATTGGCGGCTTCTCAAGAAGGGGTCAGCCCAGTGAGTGTGATCTTGAAATGCTACACAAACAAAATACCTTAAGCATAAAGGCGTTTGTAGCATTACTGAGTAGTGATCACTAAGTCTCTCTGACAGGTCACAGCGTTCAGGAACGAAATCCCTCGGGAATGAATATTGTAGGAGGATGATAACGTTTTGTCGGCAATAAGATCGAATAAGTCACTGATATACGACTATACATTCACAACAATATGGAAACATATACGCAAGCAACAACAACAAAGACAAGCGCCCGATACTTTAAACTGCAATATATATATATATATATATATTGTGGCATATAGACCCGTTGCTAGGCAACGACCGCAAATTAAGCAACTCTTCAAAATCCACTGCTAAGTTACGGCTCCGCAAATAAGCATGCTTCCATGCCAACAAGAGAATACAGCAATAACGCGAAGCGGTGTTTTCTACGCGGTCCATGCTGAGGTGTTATAGCAGGACTGGCAGCTGAGGCCGGGGATAGTTCGGGAACCCTAAGGAAGATGAATGTCTGCCGTTGGAAGTCGCTACCAAGCAACGGCTAGTGAGTACTGCAACAGATTGAGAAGACCTAGTATGTCCTGTAGTGATTTGTAAAGTGTGTAGAACAGTGACAGCATAATCCTTACTCGTAGTTAGGAGTTGAGAGTTCAATAAATTCGATTACCAATTCAATCCCTTATACTTAAGCACTAAAGCAAAAGAGAGAGAAAGCGATGATGTGCTATAGGGGAAAATAATAAAAATCTCAATGCAAAACTGCATGATAATATTTGGTAATTAAGGAAAACATTCAGCTAGTTTCTGACAATGTTGCAATTTCAGTCGTGTGAATTATTTTGAAGGATTTTATAATGCTCGGCGTTGAACATGGAAGGACGGCACTGTAACGAAGGGCAAGAACTTTCTCGAATTGCGTTTCGAAGCAGTATGCTGAGACACATGCGTAACATCGGACGCTCTGCGCAAGATGCAGCACCCTTCAGAGAGGAAGGTGTTGGGTCTTCTGGTTACATGGCAAGTAATACAAAATGTTTCTCCGCAGCTGAATGAACCAATCGCATTCCTCTGCAATCCCCGGCGCCAACATTCTGCAGCAGTCGTACTGCCTACTATTGATCCTTGGTCTAAATACAGCACTGGATACCGGTAGATGGCAGTGAAGTTGAACCAGGTGGCCATGTTGTAATTTGCAGACATTTGTTTCACGGTTATTGAAATGTGAATATTTCTACAATCCGCACCATTATTTTCACTGTAAGTACCATACATTATTCTCCATATTCAAGATTGATGACTGTTCATCGAAATGTAAGTATTCAGCTAACAGCAGTTGTAAAAATCACATCCGAACAGTGAAGCACGACGTAAACAAATGAAAGCTATATCGCATTTCATTCATGACCATCTGGCGAAGTCATACGCTACGTGGTGACATGAACTACTGTTACAACAAAGATCAACTTTCAGTGAATAGGAGATAACATATATTTTCTTTTCGTCAAGAGTTAACAATTCTCCGAAACTTTAAATTTACCTAAACGTTTAAAAATATCACGATGTAAACAGACCAAGTTTGTCCCATATTTAAAAAGAACATTTAATGAGATCAAATATATATTTTATGTTTACTTATGACTAAAGATTGACCAATAGTCATATTTTACTTCACGAACATAAATCCTTCCTCAAAATGTCATTTAGACTTATAAGATGCATACATGACTGCAGGCTCATGTTTAATTGAAAACGCCCACATTTTCGCAGATTATGTGTGCTAAAAAAATTAAAAGACTCCAAATATTTAAGAAGTGCCTATAAACAGAACTTAAAACACAACGATTTTCACTGCAATAAACTAATGAAGTACATATACAGCTATTAAATTAGTTTCTCAACATTAGCATTTATTCCATTAACATAAACTGAATGAGTACCTGAAAGAGTATAGAAAAGGCATAATACACGTATCTGATACATACTCACATTCAAATCCAAAGTTGGCAAACACAGTACTTTTGAAATAAACTGAATACTGAAATGAAACATAGAGCGCAATAAAATAGTGCAGTGTGTTACTTAACGGTAGTAAACGTAAGAATCGTCATATTTCACAGTTAAGAGAATTTAGCACCCGTTAATATATGTGTGAACTTCATAACAACATATGAATCTGCTCATGAAATGAATTAGGGGTACCCTGATATATTCAATTAACACTGAAGAGGAAGTATGATACATACTCGTAACATAAATACGTCTATCAACTACCTACTAATGAATTCCACTATCACTGCTGCCGTTAGAATACCAGTTACATGCGTTCTAAACACGCTGATGCAAGAGATAATGATCGTAGAGACATACTGAAATAGTAGTGTCCACCGCTGTAATATTTTCTACACACCTAACAAGTCATCGTTACATTAAACGTATTAATATAGATCGTTAGACAGTGAAATCGTTTATGACTCTTAATATAGTGTGGCTTAATCGCGGAAGGCATGTGTGATAGAAAACTATAAACGAAAACTTCGCATAAAGCAATCCACACTATGCTGCAGATTAACAAGAGAATTTAGGAATTAACATTAAGTTGAATTTCATGTTAACATTTAATTCACTATATAAATTTCAGCAATGATCATGAATAGGGCCAATTAAATTTAAAAAAAAAACATTCTCTTTGTCTAAACAGATATTTTCCGATCAAGTTTGAAGCTTAGACTGTGAAACAAAAGACAGTAGGGGCTGATCATTTATTTTCGACGTTGCACCCAGAAACTGGTGAAAATACGTTTTCTGTGTCAATGTTGCCCAGTATTAAATGGCTTAAAATTAGCACCGTTTTTAAGAACATAAGTTACAACTTATTCTAAACAGAAATCAAATTTTACTGAACCTGGGATGTTTTCAAAACACAAACAGATTAATATTACTTACTTACTTACTCATATAGCTGAGCCCTTCTGGAGGATACGCCAATTCTGCAGCTACTCAAGAATTTCCCAGTATTTTATGGAACCCGAAGGTTCATTACCGTGTTCACAAGAGCCCTCCACTGGTCCCTATACTTAGCCAGATCTATCCAATCCATCCCATTCCATCCTGTCTCTCTAAGATCCATTCTAATATTGTCCACCCACCTACGCCTTGGTCTTCCCTGTGGTCTTCTTCCTTCTGGCTTTCCCACCAATATCCTACATGCATTCCCCGTCCGGTTAATATTAGGTCCTATAAAAAGAAATTTCAGATCAAATGGAACTTCTCTAGGGTCAACTAATGTCGATTTATAAATAAATGAATATATGACAGAATAAATTCAGCACAACAGAACAAAGTTTCTGAGTTATCAAATCTGAATTTTAAACCAGTGTTAAGGGTTTGCTTTCCGAAAACACATTCTAAAATTGTGAGTACATGGTATTATTGTTTTAAAGAAAGTGACACATTGCAAATTTCTGTGTCTTAAAATTACATATTTTAGTTGCTTGTTTAACGATGCTGACAACATCGAGATTATATAGCGTCGGATGATGATTAATGAATTGGAAAGGATTTAGAAGGAAGTTGTAGTGGCGTAGTCGAGGTGCTATCCCAGCATTTGCCTGAAGCGAATGCGTAAAATCACGCACATCTCAGTCAGGATAGTCTGCGTCCGGGCTCAGATTCGAAACAAGCACCTCTCGAATACAAGTCTAAACTTTACCATTAGAACAAAACGTTCGCTCATTTACACTCACACACAATCCCTATAAATACGTGTATTTCTACATCGAGGAATAATATCATTAAAGTACAGAGAACTTCATTATCAGTGCATAGTTTAACACATACATGCAAAGATACTAAACATGAAAGCTCCGGCACCCAGTATTTATGTCTGTCTTGCACGAGTAGACATGTTCATTGCCCACAGCAGCCGCGCGGTCTAAGGCATGAAATGTCTTCGCTCGCTCGGAAGTTTGGATCGTGGGTTCGAATCCCACTTAAGGCATAGATGTTTGTGTTTCTATGCGTTTATTCTGTGTTTGTGTTGTCCTGTGTTTAGTTACAGGCCTTGCGACGAGCTGTTCACTCGTCCAAGGAGTTCTACCGTCTGTGAAAATGATTACGGAACTGAATATGAGGCATGGGCTGCAATTGGCTGGAAGAGCCCTTGAAGAAAATGTTCATTACGTATGTCTAATCATCAACAGCTCATAAAATTAACTCTGTCTCAGTCAACAAACAGTCGGTTTTTATTTCAGGCACATCGCTCTTAATGGGAGGAAGCCTAGCTCCCTTTCAGAGAACTGAGATTCACAAGCAAACAGGTGACAAGCGGCATCAAATTAATAATATCATTGCACCTGTATTTAACTGTCAGCTATCTGTATTCTGCACTTCACTTGTCAAGTACTTCGAAATTTTGTACTGTCTGACACAAAGCCCATGTTAAGTATATCCCTTGTCACCACAGCATGGCGCGTCCTCAGGTTGCGGATGGAGGGGACGCCCTCGAGATATGGCGGGTAGCTGCGAATATATTGAATAAGCAGCGAGGGCAGCCGACAAGCCGTGATTTTCCAGTTTGGGGGTGGGGTCTCAGACCTGGATGGACTCTTTCGATATAGGACCTAAGCCAAGGAAAATGGATATGAGATTTTGTATGTGGAATGTAAGAAGTTTAGAGAGATAGGATGGGGTAGTATGGATTGGATTGATTTGGGTCAGGATAGGGAATAGTGGAGCGCTCTTGTGAACACTGCAACAAATCTTAGGGTTCCATAAAATGTTAGAAAATTTTTCTGTAGCTGCACAACTGGATACTTCCCAAGAAAGGCTCGGCGCCATGCAGTTAGTTGACACAAAGCACATTTACACACATTTCCTATATTGCGCAAGAACTCCAGTACGTCATGTCTAACCACGGTAATGCCCAATAAACACCACACCATATTCAGAAAAACGAGTGCAACTTGTTCTGCAGAACTTAGTTGGTTGTAAGAGTCAAGGGAAATGAAGCCCGATTCTTGCAGTGTTATTTCTGAAGTTGAGTGACGAGGGAGATGACTTTCCGTTCCGTAATTTAAGTTTCTGACAAATGAACAGCGCCTATGAAGGGTCAATTTGCGTATATGAGAAATATTTCTAAGACTGTAAACTGCATATACACGAAATCTCGGAAACCGACTCGAGTGAATCAGGATATATGTACATACGTACATAAACTAAAGTAAAAGTAAAGCTATCCTTGTAACAGGCCGTGAAGGCCCACAGGGCTGTGAGACGTTGAGGGTCCCGCATTATCTAGACAATCGACTCAAAGATGGCGGTAAGGTTCTCAGCCTTATGCGACGGCCGCGCTTTACTCCCCAGGAAAATTATTTAATTAATTCCTGTTACTCATTTCTGTTAGAGGCTGAGTGAACCCCATGCCCATAGTGCGACTGGGAGGATTAGATCAATTGAAAAAAATTCAATGACCTCATCGGGACTTGAACCCGCGACCTTTCACAGGGCACTTAATAAAAAAGGGGAAAGCTATCCTTGAAACAGGCCGTGGAGGCCAATAGGGTTGTGATACGTCGAGGTTCCCATATTTTCTAGATAATCGGCTCACAGATGGCGGTGAGATTGTCAGCCATAGGGACCGGCCGCCCTTTACTCCCAGGAAGATTCCTGGTACTCATTTCTATTAGAGGCTGCGTCGACCCCCTCTCCCCCAAGGTTGTAGTGCGGCTGAAAAGATTATGTCAATTGGAAAATCCACTGACCTCATCGGGAATCGAACACACGACTTTCCGGCTTGTAACATGGTGCCTCAATCATCTATGCTACCGCTTTTTATTCGCGGGATTCCAGACAATGCCACTACTTTTCACAAAGCACATATTTTAAGAAGACTGTTAGCTACAGGAATACCAGGGAATCAATATGATTAAGTTCAAGAGGGAAATTACAACCATACCTTACAGACTGATACTATCTAATGGCAATTGTACGATTTTTGTCTGATACAAAGCGAGAGAGAATGGATACAAAGGAAAACGAGAGCCACGAAAATATGGATGAAAACAAATGGACAGAGGTTTGACGTCATGAAAGCATCGATCCATACTAGGCAGACGTCAGGGCGCCTTCCCCCCTCCCCCCGAACTTCCCTGTTGACAGCTTGCTATATAAATTACAAGACAAAGTCTACATGCGCAGGGACGCTGGGTTATGCTATCCGTCCACTTCAATGCGTCAATGCAGAAACATGGAATATCAAG